GGGGGGGGGGGGGGGCACAACCGCCATTTTCTTTTCCCTTTTTGTTGAATGGACTGTCTTATTTACATATAAACACCTTTTCCACTACACCAAAGAAGGTAAAGAAGTCCAACACGGTGCTTCAAAACAATTTTCTTTTTTATGATAAATACTTAAACTAATACAAAAATAGACATCCTAAAAAGATGTAACAAGTATTAGGTATATTTTCTTCTTTACTTGCACTGAAAGCAGTAATTAGGACAGCTTTGAAATCAATTAGTTTCATATAAATAATATGAAGAATATGACAACCTATATTAACATGTTCAAATTGACTTACTTGTAATTCAAGCTTTTCGCCACTTTGTGTTTTGACAGATATGGGATAAAGATTAAGTTCCCCTGCAAATTGATTGGTAAGGGAGAAAAAAAAAGAGGAATGAGATACAACATCAAAGTTAGTGATCAAGTCCAACGTTACATTCAAATTTGAAAGGATGTCATCACTTCATAGAGTATGTTGGCGGAGAACAATACAAACATACAAACTAGTGACCAAAAGCTCAACCCTGGAGCACATATAATAAAAATTTGAGAAAGAAACAGAACTTTTCATGAACTCATTGTTATTTTGTGCATAAGAACTATCGTTTGAAAACCAGACGGTGAAAGATATTTTGAACCACATTGAGCACATTGGGTCATAGCATGAGAGCATGCTTTTATATCTCCCTTGTTCTGAAACCAGAAACCTGTTCATTAAGCTCCAAATCTTTCAAATAAGAAATCCAAATATGGAAAATTCCAGTTTCTCTTTACAAAAATCTATATCATAATGGAAAGAGATAAACTTCTCACACATGCTTGGTGCTCCATTACAGCTTATTTTCATTTCATGTTTTCATTTTTAAGGGGAAAAAAATTCAGGACTAGAGTCTCAACTAATGTCAATTCCATGTTCATGAGAGTTTTCCATAATACAGGATTCATCGGACTAATCACGAAAACAACTACCTTGCTTTGGTTGATTTTCTGGATTAGCTGTTTCAGATCCTTTAATGGCTGCCATAATGTCTGATGATTCCTCAACTGGTCCAACTGGCTCCGCTTTAGACTCCAAAGCACCATTAACAACTTCTGAAGCATCAGAAGAAACTACTACCTCAGAAGAATGTGTAGTAGCATGGTGTGCCCCTTTCCTATTCCTTCCTTTGTTTGATTTTCCTGCCATTTATACTTCCTAGCATTCCAGAAATACTATACATCATGAAAAACTATAAATGGCAAAGCTTATGGAATATAATTACTCAAACAGCTCATCAAGTTGCCATGTGAAAGAAAATACGACTGCTCAAAAATAAACAATAGAATCAACGTGCATATTTGCTCCTTCGAAATTGGAGAATTATCCACTCATCTCTAATCTTCCAAAAGAAAAAAACAATACCCCATTTCAGGCTTCAGTCGACTATGCTTCAATAAAGAAACAAACATATTGATCGAGAATCAGAATTTATAAATGAGAAAAAAGATTAATGGTCAATTCCTACCATAAGCTAATAAAATGAGACATGATTTTATTTAAACAGGGAGCTCTCTGATGAACCAAACAAGGAAGGATAGTAGAAAACTATATTGGAAACCAAACTAAACGATTCCCAGCATTATGTTTTCATAATTCATTTCGTTGCCTCTATCTCAGCAATTAAAAAAAAAAAAACTAAGTTTTCATTGAGAAAAAATAAAAAATACAAAAGAGCCAAGAAGACTCGGACAACAATTTTCTATCCAGCTTTCCAAAAAGTTATCAACAGAGAATCACCTAATAACTTTTCGGCATGGGATAGGTAGATACCAAGCAATAGCATGCATCATCAAATTACTAACTGAAACTCGCTCTTTTCTTATAGAATGACCAACTGAAACTTAGTCACTAACCTTCCCCGCCGCCAATAATGTTTTTTGAGAAGTAAAAATCCTTAATTCATTGGGATATCACATTAATTAAAACCAAAGATGAAACCCAACAACCTAAACATATTACAGAAACATCGAGTATATAAAAAAGGCAATGACTGATTTAGCAGCAATAGAAATGCAATCATATCGACAAACAGAACAGAACAACAACGAAGAAAAACCCCGCAAAACAGATGGAAACGAGCTCTTCAGTTCTCATTTCCACTCGTCAAAATTGAAATCATATCGACATAAACAGAACAGAACAACTACAAAGAAAATCCAGCAAAACAGATGGAAACGAGCTCTTCAGTTCTCATTTCCACTCATCAAAATCGAAATCATATCGACATAAACAGAACAGAACAACAACAAAGAAAATCCAGCAAAACAGATGGAAACGAGCTCTTCAGTTCTCATTTCCACTCATCAAAATCGAAATCATATCGACATAAACAGAACAGAACAACAACACAGAAAATCCAGCAAAACAGATGGAAACGAGCACTTCAGTTCTCATTTCCACTCGTCAAAATCGAAATCATATCGACATAAACAGAACAGAACAACAACAAAGAAAATCCAGCAAAACAGATGGAAACGAGCTCTTACTTCTCATTTCCACTCGTCAAAATCGAAATCATATCGACACAAACAGAACAGAACAACAACAAAGAAAATCCAGCAAAACAGATGGAAACGAGCTCTTCAGTTCTCATTTCCACTCGTCAAAATCGAAATCATATCGACACAAACAGAACAGAACAACAACAAAGAAAATCCAGCAAAACAGATGGAACCGAGCTCTTCACTTCTCATTTCCACTCGTCAAAATTGATTGAAACATCTGCAAATTCACCATAGTTTCAAAGGTATACCTCGATGTTAAGTTGTTGAAACTAAGCAAAAGAAGATGCTGGATGAAACCGAGAATGAAGAGAGATTGAGAGGTTTACAGAGACAAACGCCAATGCCGTCTTTGAGGTTTAAGGAGGGGCTGAGAGTAATAGAGGAAGTGTCAGACGGCTAAAGTTTGGCCCTTCATAAAATGGTAACCTGTAATCATTCTGCAACTAATTCCTATAATTTCATGCCTTTAGGTTTGATCGTTACAAAAAAATATATATAAAATAAAAATAATTAAAATATATTTTTAATTCTTTTGCTTTCCATTACATTTAAATTCATACCCAAATTCTAAAAATAATTTTTTAATTTTTTTCCGATAACAAAAATATATAAATTTGATACGTCTAATTATTTATAGATATATGTAACGTATATTTATTTGTTCGCTTGTGGATGTTCATTTAATATGCGACGATCCACCTCCAATCAAGAGGTAAGAAATTTCCGTTTCATTGGAGAGAGTGAAGAATAGATTTTTTGATGAGACAAATGAACGTGAAGACGGAGAATATACTCGCCCCTAGTCCGGCTGCACGTGTTTAAAGCTAATTTACTCTATACTCTATATTTATATTATAGGGTAATTAATTAATTTATTATATATTTTAAATTAAAATATATTGAAATTATATTAAACTTTTAATTGCCAACTTATTATTTATAATATTCTGTCTATAAAATTCGATTTATAATATTTAAAAAAATGTTAGTATAACTATTATTTTGAATAATTTATAATATTCTAACACGATTGGTAAACATTAGGTTAATTAAGTGAGGTTGACTCATGGATAAACTATAAGTTCGATGGTAAGTGAATTTGTATGAACTAAATTTAGGAACATTCGGCTAAGCAAGCTTAAGAACACAAAATTGAACTCGAAACGCTAAGTGAGCTTATTATTGGAATGACTCCGAGCTAGGTTGAATGAATTGACTTATGCATGAATAACACGTAGCTTGTGTTGATACGTGTATTTGTTGTTTATTGATTCATGTTCGTATTTGAGTACAATCACGTCATGATGTACCGTATATGATAAGCATGAAATTTATACACGTCTCATAGGAAATTTATATTACGACAAGTAAGGAAGCATTATGTGTTTCGTCTCATTGGACCATGATTCTTAATGTGAAACCTTATGCATGGTATGTTGCACGAGTATGAATTACTTATTTAATATGTTATGTATAGACGTATACACCATAATATTAAATACTCTTTTTTTTGTTGGTTTTTGGTAGCGTGAGTGTAACGGTCACCAATTAATAAAAAAATAACAAATAAGTAAATACTCGGTCGCCAAAAAATGAGGGAGAATTCTAGCAAGGCACCGAAATTCTCGCACCCCTCTCAACCACACCCTACCCGACGCCCACACTACTCCAAACAACCCACAAACCTCCTACCACACGCTTCAGAGCTTACATGCAAGGAAAAACAAAGGGAAAGGAACGAGAAAGAAAAAACGAGAAGGAGAGAGAAAACTCATCTCAAATTCCCTAGTGAGGTCCGAAGGTTTGGGAAGTTTTAGAAACTTAATGCAACATTGAAGAAAAATATTCAGTTACAATTTAGAATAACTTATAGTTATTGTATTTTATTAATAGTGGTTAATTATGGTTATAAATTATGAACGTTACAACTCTTCCAAAACCTGGAAGGTTAAGAGTTTTCATTTTGAGGTTATATAAATTCATGTATGTTGTACGTAGTTTAGGTTGCATGTAAAATCATTCAAGCTTGATATGATCAATCTTGCTTGTGGAGTGATTCAAATCTCAAACAAGTGTTCTTTGTCTTGAGCTATTTGATCAACAAGAATCATTCAAGCTAGAGATGATCGATCTTGCTTGTGGAGTGATTCAAATCTCAGACAAATATTCTTGCCTTGAGATATTCGATCAACAAGGTAATCTGAATCTTACTCTCCTTGCAGTGATTTTCTTATCATAGTATCAGACTTTTCCCTTGAATTTATTCCACATATCATTTGGTATCAGAGCTTTAGGCTCAAGATTCTTAGAAGAATTTGATTAGGTAAGAGTGATGATAATATTATTTTGTAAGAGTGATGATAATCTCCAACAAGATGATAACATGTCCATTGATGAATTACAAAGTTCATTAGTGGTGCATGAACAAAAATTTCGAAGACCCAACATTAATGGAGAGGAACAATTTCTAAAAGTCGAAGGACGAACCGAAATAAGTAATAGAGGAAGAAGAACTTATAGGGGAAGAGGACGCGGAAGAGGAAGAGGAAGATCAACTTTCAACAAAGCAACTATTGAATGTTATAGGTGTCATGACTTAGGTAATTTTCAATATGAATGTCCAAAAATGAATAAGGAAATAAATTATGCAAAGCCGGAAGAATAGGATGAAATGCTGTTAATGGCTCATATGGAAAGACATGAAGCAAAAAGGAGTGATGCTTGGTTCTTAGATTTCGGTTGCTCAAACCATATGTGTGCAAGTGAAGGTATGTTTTCAAGCTTAAACAAGACATTTTCCCACATTGTCAAACTTGGAAATAATACGAGTATGAAAGTTATGGGAAAGGGTACAGTGAAATTAATTTTGCATGGGGTTCGTTGCACTATTCGTAATGTGTATTGGGTACCTGAACTTAAAAATAATCTCTCGAGTGTTGGACAACTACAAGAAAAAGGAGTAGCAGTGTTGTTTAAAGATGGTGTATGTAGCATTTATCATCTACAAAGAGGAAAAATAGCAGAGTCAATTATGAGCGCAAATCGATAGTCTATTTTGGGTATTGAACCATCTACCACAACAAATGAAGAAAGATGCTTTCAAGTTTCAAATACGGATTAGTCAACATTTTGGCACCATCTATATGGTCATCTCGGCTACAAAGGCTTGTGCACCTTGAAACACAAAAACATGGTGAAAGGCCTGCTATAAATTGGAGCTCTAAACACCACCTGTGAGGCATGTATGAAAGGCAAGTAACATCGGAGCTCTAAACACCACTCTGTTAAGGATATTTAGTACTAAATTATAGTTTACCATATATATCATATTTGATATATCATTATAAGTCAAATATCTTCCTTAATATAGGTATCTTTCCATATATTGTTCTTTCCATTTATTACTATTGTTAGGATCGCACAACAACGCACACACTCGATCTAGATGAACACAAAGAACAGGATAGAGAAAATTGCAAGGAGAACTCTAGCTAAAAGAATTTTTTTTTTTTTTTTTTTTATTGATGACTTTAGGTATGTACAACAAGAGAGAGTACAGAGAATAGAAAGTACATTTTCAAAGCTCTACTGGACGGGATATATATATTGTTCAGTCTACTATATATAGCTTTACCAGATTTAACCATCTACTATATATAGCTATTTACCATATATAGCTTTACCATATATGACTTTACCAAATATAGCTTTACCGGATATAGCCGTTGACCAAGCTATAAATACAGGGAGCAGACTCCATAACCTAACAATTCTCTGACTTGGAGACTGATCCTACACCATACCAATTAGGGCTTTGCATAACCTTAATTTTCCAACATCAACACATTTTGTCAACATGTCTGCTGGATTCTTTGCACCCTCTATCTTCTCCAAACACATATCGCCTTCTAATGTGTTTTGTCCTTGAATGATAGACTGGGTTTTTCATCAACTGTATGACACTCTGACTATCTGTATAAATGATATTCTTACACTGCTTCCGGCCTAATTCTTCTAGATAGTCTGTCATCCATATCATCTCCTTTCCAACTTCAGCTATGGCCACATACTCAGCTTCAGTAGATGAAAGAGCAACGTATTTCTGAAGCTTGAACATCCAACTCACTGCTGTTCCATCTATAGTGTAGATATATCTAGATGTGCTCTTGCTGGAGTCTACATCTCCACTCAGATCAGCATCCACAAAACCTTGCAGAACTACTTTGCCATTGCCATAACAAAGTGAAGTATTGGATGTACCTCTCAGATATCTCAGAAGCCACTTCACAGCTTCCCAATGTTCCTTCCCTGGATTTGTCATGTACTTGCTAACAACTCCCACTGCATGTGTTATGTCAGGTCTAGTGCAGACCATAGCATACATCAAACTCCCAATTGCAGAAGCGTACGGAACTGATGCCATGTGCTCACGTTCCTCAACTGTCTTGGGAGATTGCCCCTTTGACAATTTAATATGATTTGCCAAGGGGGTAGTCCTGGGTTTAGTGTTATTCATCTTGAATTTGGACAACACCTTCTCAATGTACTGCTCTTGGGATAGATTTAATGTGCCAGCAGATCTATCTCGAGAAATCCTCATCCCAAGGATCTGCTTCGCTGCACCTAAATTTTTCATCTCAAATACTGAAGACAAGTTTGCCTTCAGGTGGTTTATCTCCCTCATACTTGATCGAGCAATTAGTATATCATCCACATACAGGAGTAGAAACACATAAGAATCAGTGTATTTCTTGAGGTAGCAACACTGATCCTTTTCACTCCTGTGGAAACCACTCTTGCTCATGAAGGAATCAAACTTCTTGTACCATTGTCTCGGTGCTTGTTTCAGTCCATACAAGCTCTTATTGAGCTAACACACCATGTGCTCCTTGCCTAGAGCTGCAAATCCTTCTGGTTGTTGCATATAGATCTCCTCATCTAGATCTCCATGTAAAAACGCCGTTTTTACATCCATTTGCTCAAGGTGAAAATTCTCCGATGCAACAATACTCAGCAGAATTCGGATAGTAGTTAATTTCACCATTGGAGAAAAGATCTCGGCATAATCAATGCCTTTTCTTTGTGAATATCCTTTAACTACTAACCGAGCCTTAAACCTCCTTCTGCCATCTGGTTCAACTTTGGTTCTGAACACTCATTTGTTCAACAGAGCTCTCTTTCCTGTAGGCAACTTAGTCAGCACCCACGTATTATTCTTTTCAAGTGAGCTCATTTCATCATCCATGGCTTGCTCCCACTTGGTTGAATCTTCCACTTGTAGAGCCTCATCAAAGGATTCTGGTTCTCCTTCGTCAGTCAGCAACAAATAATGTAATGCGGATGAATATCTATCTGGTGCTCTGGTAGTTCTGGATGATCTTCTCAACACCTGCTCAGGTGCAACTTGCTTCACGTCTGGTTCTTCAGCAATAGGATCAGGAG